CCAAAAAAAAAAAAAAAAAAAAAAAAAAAGAAGGGGAAAATAGTACCTGTAAAAAGAGAGGGAAATGTCTGGCTTTAGGATAATGTGGCATACAGTTCTCTATAAGAGTAAGAAATATTACTATCTTAGGAATAGAATGACCAATTTCTTCCCTTATCTGATGCTTTTTAATACAATGTTCATTGGGTTTTATATTTATATAGTTTCTGTCCTCCTACCTGGACGTGAGTGTAAGCTACAAGAAGCAGGGTGAGAGAAGGGACCATCTCCTTCGTACCAGAGTGTAGTGGCCTCAGGTGGGACACAGAGTAGTGCTCCCAGGTATGGAGGGAAAATGTGTCAGTCCCAGGCAAGCTCCTGATTTTATTGAAACTGCTAAGAAATCTTTAATGACCGCACCCAGCAGAAAAGGACAACAGGAGGATCCAAGCCTCGCTGAACAGGTGGCACTAAATCTGTTAAACTAAGGGTGAGTTTATAGGAGAAGCCCACTGTGTGCAGAAGCCTCTTAATTGTCTCCGCATGAGCTAATCCAGAAACAAAGCAGGGTTCAAGTACCGAGTCTGGCTCAGACATCACTAATTTGTGCAGGGTGCCATTAAAACCCGGGAAAAAAACCGTTTCTAGGCTTCACCTGGTGTGACCCTACACTACTGCACTATACTGGGCAAGCTTCTCCATGTGGGTCAGTGGAAGCTCAGGGAACATCTGCATCTTATTTTTGGTAAGTGTACCACTGCTAACTCATCAGGTGACAAAGCCGTACCTGTGATAGCACAGCTTGCCACCTCCGTGCTACGGAGGACATAGCACCACGTGATGAGAAACAGTGACTTTCATGATGATAAAATAACAGAAACTGGTGAGACGTTGAACATATCCTGAGGCTGCAGGGAGGTATTCGGAGTGTATGCTTCCTTGTAACCGCAGGGGCTGCTTTTAGAAAGCCTTTAATTGGAGGCAGCAAGTAGAAGTTTGACTGCTGACTGAGCTGAGCTGTCTTGCTCTTGGGATAGCCCAGGTACGTAGCAACAGGACATTGCTATAATGTAAGAGCAGTCTGATAGCATCTGTATACCATAACGGTGAACAGAAGGGAGACTCCTGACATCCCTCAGCCACAATTGCATTACTGCTATTTGCTTTACCAGCACGACTGTACAGACTGCTCACCCCACCTCTTTATTCTCCAGAAGCACGGAATACCCTCTGCAGGTGTGTGCATAGGCACTGTCTGCCTGTAATCATACCTCATGAGTTTGTGTGAGGGGGAATTGTGCTTTTACGTTTCAAGGAGGAAGAACAGGTGCTATTAAGTCCTTCAGTACAGGCAGAAAGTGGTGACCCAGGTGCAGACGCAGGCATCAAGACCATGGCAGCCATGGAGAAGGATGACAGGAAGAGTGAGGAAAGGGAGATCTTCAGTCTCTGAAGTTTGCAGATACAGCTGTTGGGTTTGTTTTTTCCTTGAACAGTGAAAGGCGCCTGCAGAAGCGGGTAAGATGTTTGAGAGCAACAAACAGCTGAACCCCTGACACTGGTCGGCTTCTTCCCTTTTCCAGATACAGAACATGCATATATTTTGGCCACTTCCCATTGAATCTTAAAACACTCACTTCAGATTTGGTCAAATTCTTGCTGTAGATTTGGCCTACAGTTCTCATTTTTTACTGTGCGTTCTCATCTCTGTAATTAATGAATGTTCCTGGTTGATCCAGAGCTTGCTTTAGCAAACCAATCTGCGCTATAATACCAATTATTTCCTTATGTTATTTAAAATCCAGTGCAGAAGTGCAATTACTGAAACATGTCAGTGCACAGCAAATAGGCTGATGGCAGTATTTCACAAAATAGATGCTCAACCCATCTTTAAGGAGAAAGTGTTGCTCAGTTTTGAGACAGGCATACATGACACAGAGTTGTTCTACAATTGCACAACACCAGTATGAAGACAAGCCTAAGTTAATATGCGCTTCCTCTCAACCCAGTGCTACTGTCCGTAACTATCCATATGGCCTGCTTACACTCTCATCCCAAAACACATCTTTGCCATCACTGTAGGTGTGGATCATGAAAGTGCTGTTGTATCTCTCAGGTGTGGATAAAAAGCAGAAATTCCTGGAGTTTCTGGTCCTGTGTCTTTGTGAAACAGAGTAAACTGACAGGGTAGTTCTTTTCCCACCCTTGCCATGCTTCTCATCAGAATTCATTATATCTTTCAGCCTGTTTTTTTTTTCTTCCAGTTCTTTAATTCTCTCTCTCTCCCCCTATCTTTCTATCTATCTATCATTTATCTAATATTTAAATTTAGATACAGATAGATCTATATAATAGCATTTCTTAACTTCTACTTTGAATATGGGAAACAATAATATTTCAAAATGTATTTATTTCTGACACAGAACTGTTTATGTGCTTTGCTAGTCACACTAAATACGTCCATTCATGGTACTCCCAGAGATGCAAGATAAAGTGATTTGTCAGAATGTGTTATTTGGTTTGGGGATTTGTAGAATGCCTTTGCTGCACACAGCTGTGTATATGCTGATAGTGCTTTCCTATGTGACTATATAGAGCAGCTTGTAACTGCAACATAGGAAAAGGCAGATAAGGACCAATAGGGGGGCCAAATACATCTATTCTGTCACTGGTAGTTAGAATATCAATTAGAAATGCTCCTCTAATTGTTGAATAATTCACAGTTAAAAAGACATTGCCTTAATATTAACAAAAATGCTTTTTACTGTGGAAAAACTTGAACTTTTATAAAGTAAAAGCCTTATTCAATTTTAGCTTTCTGAATATAATTATTTTTTATAAAAGGAATAAATATTTCTATTGGTTATTTAAAAAAAAAAAAACAACTCTATGAAGCCATCCCATTAAAATCTGATTAATTGGAAGACATTTCAATAATCTTACAGTTTTTTCCTGTATAGTTCAAACATTCTGTTATGATTGTACCCTTACCAGCATTCCACATTTTTAATGAAAATAGGACTGAGCACTGTCAGACATTTATTATGTAACAGCAAAATATGTTTAAAAAGAAAAAAAAGGCAGCTAAAATATTGTGTGGACCACTCTATTCCTTCACAGATTTTAGTGTTATCTACTAAAGAAAGAAATACAAAGAAATGCTGTTTCAACATCTTCAAAATTAAAAATCCAAAAGATTTTGCTTCGGAGCAGGCAGACATTAAATTCTGTTTTCAGGCAGACTCCAGGCGTATCAGACAAATGGCAAAATTTGAGACTGTTAAAAGCTGTCTATATGGTGCAACTGTTCAAAACTGGGAAGACCAGAACTGATCAGAAGATTCTAGCATGGACTCCTCATAAACACAATACATGAAACCATACTCTTTTGCTGCATGATATATGATGTACAAAGTCTTATTGTTTTTTTTCAAATTAAATCCTGGGTTTACCATTTGCAACTTTTGCTGTCTTTCCACAGATGTTTCAGCTGCAGTTTAACCTCACTTATATTAAAAGGTTAAATTCTGCTATTTTGTGGGAGTCTGTCACTGATTTCTTCTCTGACAATGGCTCAGCACTTTCAGCCTGTCTTACTTAAAGAGTGCCATCTATGCTTTGCATTGGCCGCATATTGTTTAACCCCTGACTGTATTTATCATCAGACCCATGGGTTGCCCTAAGATTACAGTGGGAAAACATTTCCTTTCTTGGGGTCAAATCGTCTTTTCAAAAATATACCATAGCGTTGCCCCATAATGCTGGGGGCAATGTCACCACTTTATCTGACTTCTGGGCAGCTGTGCGGTAAAATATGGCAGCCTGAGCACACCAATACACAGAATTGCTTAAAATCTTATTTCCTTCTGTCCATCCCCAAACAAGGACTCTGTTCCCCTTGCATCAGCAAAGCTGTGGGCACTGGACACTGGCCAAGGACCGTGATATGGTACTGCTGCCTTGAAGAGTAACTCAGTGAAAGACAACCTGCAAGGACCACATGGATTATGGCACTTTCCATCAGCACATCTCTCTGCAAATATGTGTCGCAGGAGCCAGTCTGAAAGGTTTTAATGCAGTTTTGGGCATACAAAAGACACATACAGGGTATCAGTTAGAATTACTATTTAACTGAGGACTTAGATTTCTTGCTTCCTCTGTCTTAATAATCACTACCTTAACCCCTCTTACTTAGACTTTTTCCACTCCAGACTGGTTCTTTAAATTCCAGGTTTTCTTCCCTTAGTGTATTTTTTGAAAACGTGTTAATTTATATAATCAGCTGGAGGAGAGTTGAGCGGGGTGTCATTTGGGGAAGGATTTTTTTGGCAATGTGTAACAATGAACATGACTAGCGTAGAAACTGAAAAGACAGTGTGACAACAATTTGGATAATGGAGCAGCATGTCCATTCATAGTTAAAGAAACAGCTTAGGGTTTTACCACTAGCGCACAAGGTCTTCCACGCTTAATTTTGTCTGTTTCTTCTTAGCCTTAGTTTCTTCTTCTTTCTGTCAGCCCAGTCATGAAGGTGCAACACATATTGGCTTTTACTGGGAATTTTATCTGTAGGAGCATGGTTGCATGTGGTAGTGGCTTGATTAGTAATACTTGGTTTTCAAGTCTGATTATTTCTATGGTGTATAGACTTGGATACCTCCGAAAAGACTGGCCATCTGGTCTATTAAAATTACAAAATCTTTCATAAGGATTTAAAATCATTATGCTAGCTGCTCAGCTAATGTAAGTCAAGGTAACTTGATTGATTTTAATGGAGCTACTTCAATTTACACCAGCCAGTCATCTGGCTAATTATGTCCTGTTGTGATAAGAACAGAAAAAGGCAGAATTTAAATCTATCCTAGCTGTGACAAATGACTGGAAACACTGCGATAATGATGGCTGGGGAAAAAAAATTACAGACATTGAAATATTCTTGCTCATACACTTTTGATCCTGCTCTCTTTTCCAGATAGCATATCCTTTCCCATTAGAAAATTTCCAACTTGACAATTATAGGCAGAAACCACTAGGTGCCAGTGTTATCCAGACATCAGGAAAAGGCTTTGTCAGTAACATTAAAAACAACATGAAAGCCAATACAGCTAAACTCTTTAACTGAAAATAAAGCTTCTGTGTCTTTTCAACTACATGAGACTGCATTAAGGTTTTTGAGATGATTACTTTTTCTAAAACCAAAGGCACTAAATTGATGTACATTGGCAGAAACTGCCATCAAACCAATCTGACTGCAGGACGCATTTCCATCAAAAACCCAGATAGGTACACAAAAGCTGTTATGCTGCCTTCAAGACCTTATGGATTACACCAAGGATCATAAGGCAGAGTCAAGTCTACATTTTTCAACGTACATGCAGCTCAAATATACGGTGTGAATAGCAGTTCACTGCTAAGATAGGCATTTTACAGGAAAAAATTGGTTTAGATTTTGTTTGAATTCACATTCCAAGCCACACCCAAAGTCTGGTTTGACCCATTGGTATATATCAGAGTTTTCATTTGGGCTCATTTCCATTGTTGTCATGGTCCTCTGAAAGCTTTCCCTGTTAAAAGAAATTGAAATCTTCTGTTTAAGGATCTGGATAAGCTAGAGACAGCTGATTGCTTGTGCATGGGAGTGTGAATGCAAATCTCTGGCTAACCTGCACACAGCTCATTTGCAAGAGATGAATCTCACTCATTTAGTTTCACACATCTACAGTGCAACTGTTTCCATCCATGCCAGTCATCCTTATTTTTTTGATGTGGAGAAACAGTCATTTCCTGGGCATGATTCATCTGGCCTATTTCAGAAACCACCTTAGCAGCAGATGAATGGTGAAACAAGCTTTGATGATTAGCTCAGGAGCTGAAGTTTACACTGAAGGCGTCTTAAGTTATGTCAGACTAATTCTACCACAGTGGGTTTGCAGAGTTTAATTTTTAGTCAAATCTGATGCTTTGCTTTTGTTCTTTCTACAGCCATTAGACTTTGAAACAAAAAAGGCATACACCTTCAAAGTCGAGGCCTCCAATCTCCATCTTGACCATCGATTTCACTCAGTGGGTCCATTCAAAGATACCGCCACTGTGAAGATAAATGTGTTGGACATGGATGAACCTCCAGTTTTCAGCAAGCCTATGTACACAATGGAGGTTTATGAAGACACACCTGTGGGGACCATTATAGGCGCAGTGACAGCACAAGACCTTGATGCTGGCAGCAGCTCCGTTAGGTAAGAAAGCTTTCCCTCCTTCAATAACTCTCAGACAACCCAAAGTGCTGCTGACAGTCAGACTTGGTGGTAAAGAGCTTAGTAAGAAGATATAAAATGTTCCAAGTCTGTCACTGTAACAGATAACTGCTGCTCTGAAAAATATTGAAAAGAGATGCTAGTTTGAGTGGGCTATCTGGAAAAATAGATTAAGTGCTGACAGCTTCTTATCATACAGATCATGTAAGTTACCATGCACTGACATGACTTCAGAGATGGTGTGCTCAGACTAAGGAAGTAAAAACATTGTTTTGCTTGGTGTCTGGGGCTTCCCAGACTGTTCTCTGAAGAACAGTAAAAAGGAGGTTGTACGTGCTCCGTCTGTGTTACAGCTCAATGGGTGACAGCCCCTTTCACAAGAACCACTCGCAATCTACATCTGGCAAAGAACACTGATAAATAATTGCTACCTCTGCCTTGGCTAAGGCTGTGGGGATGTGTTTACTGACCAACATGGCTGTGTTGAGCAGACTTCAGCACAAGTAAACCCCTGCCAGCAAAACCTCTCATTTACTGGTATAGCTTATTTTCCTGAAATAAAATGGAGAGGGGAGCTGTTATACAAAGGTAATATATTGATTTTGCTGATGTATTTCCAGCCACATTAGAAACTATAAAGTGAACCAGACTCATGTACCAATAAGGAAGCTACTGTGCAGACACAGTCTAAGATGTAGGCAGTCATTACACATACATCGAGTACCAGTTCATGCTGGACCTACCTGACTTCAGGAAATATTTTTATTCCCAGACTTTCATGAGCAATATTGCAGACATAATGGAAGTCATCAATCTTTAAATATTAATGTTTATCAGATGGGGCTATGATGGAACAGCAAAATGCCACTTGTATCTACCAAGTGCATACACATTCATGCATATTTGACTACAAATTTAATTTGGACTTTTTATTCCATGTTTATTAACTATGTGTATTTTGACTCAGTACTTGTACTCTCAAAATGTACAATAAACATGCCAGATGATATGTTGTAATCATATGCAAAAATCTAACATGCAACAGTGACTGTTTAGCTCCTGCTTCATCAATTCACTGTTAATTAATTCTTTAAACTATTACTAATATTGTTTGTTTCACTACTCTTTTAAAAAAAAAAAAATACATTCTTCATTCTTTTCTAATACAGAAATGAATTTGTTCATGAATCTGTGACATATTCCTTCCCTGACAAAGGATCAAAACCTTCACAAACAAAGACTGAAGTGGGAATCTTTTTCCCTGGTGGTAACCTATGAAAACAGCCTCGCTGAAGTCAATATTCTATTGAAAACCATACTCTCCTTTAATCATATTGTTGAGCAGTTTTTCATACGACAGCAGAATCATTTGACTGTATAACCACTCCTCAGTGAGAGTTCTTTACTTCGCAAACCCACCGAGGAGACTCAAGTGCTTTAGCTACTGATCCTACATTTGCAACCGCACAGGAAAAACCATCGTCTCACAGTGGTTTCCCCATACACCGCACCCACTCTACTATTGAATTCTAAGCCATTTTAAAGTGTCCATGTCTATCTTCTTTTAACCCTGAAATCATTACTTGGGTGACCAAATGCCCATCTACAGTTAAAAGATCAGGAATATTATAAAATACCCTTGCATTTTAGTCTCACTGTTCTACTTGCTGACCCCTTACACTGACAAACTACTGAAATGCTCCCAGGGTCACTTTTTATGAACACATTCAGCTGGTTCATATCCAGGGAAAAAAAGTGAACTATGTCCCAGTATTACCAGTTTCTCAGAGGACCTATCCCTACCCAAAAGTAAGCCTCTCATTGAATTCAGTGGAATCTGGAGGGAGATACTTTGCTTTAAGGAGAGGCATGTGTTCCAGTAAGCCAGCTGACATGCTGAGAAGATTGTTGGAAACCTCTCCATGCAGCTCTCTTACAGCATTGTAAGATTACTTATTTATTTCTATCAATTTTCATGTTTCAGCCCTGAAATCTCTTCCTTGGCTCACCTGAGGATATATTTGATTCTCTGTATCTCAGCTTGATCTCCAGCTATTTGAATTTAATGACAAAATCCTTACTAATTTGTCAGAGATCTGACTATGCTCTTATTCTCTGTAAGAACCTACCTGTATCCAAATGTTGAGTAGTCCAAGAAGAAAAAGAAATTATATGCAAATGTTAGTTACTGATCTATTAGTGTTCAATATTTCATAAGTTTATATACTCTAACTGAAAAATGTACAGGACCAGAAGTTAGAAAAGCATAAATTAGTTTGAAAATATATCTTAGCCAATTATGCTCTTTCAGTTGTTTAAAATCTAGATCATCTCATAGATGTAAAGAATAGCTCCATCAATTTAATCATATTTTAAAGAAGGAGTCTGAGCAGCTCCTGAGTAAATATGCCCTCTAAATAAATATGGAAAAGCAAGTAATGTTCTTTGAGGCAACAGCCCATACAATTTGCTGGGTGGCACAGTTTCTCTACAGATTCATTCATTTTCTCTGAAATGTTTTCCTAGAGCAGTTTGGTCATTAAGATGCCCATTACAACAACAACAAAATCAACAATCTGCCAAAAAATAGAGGCTGGGATAAAAGACCAATCTGCACTGTATGCAACAGAAGGCAAAACTCTGGAGAACAAAGCAGGCTAGAACAGCTCACATGAAAGGAAGCAGCACTAGTCACGGCAACTAAATCCCTGTTATCAGACAAAAACTTTAGCTTTGTCGTGCTAGACACAACAGGAAGGGGGAGATAACGGCTAAGAATGAAGGCTGGGTTCAGCTGGTAGAAAAAGAAAAATATTTTGCTGGAAGCCATTAAAAATATTGAGGTTTATATTATTTTGCTCTTTTCTCCTGTTACTGGAATCAAATTTTTGTACAAGTCAGGTAATGTAAAAGGTTTGTTTTGTAGGATGATACTTGTTAGAGGTGTTGAAATGAAGTGGCACAGAGCGCACATTCAGTAAGAAACAGGAAATTAAGCACAAGGAGAAGAGGGGCGGCAGGTATTCAACACCTGCAAGGGTGACTGGCTTTGAAGCTGTTTTGGAACATTTACCCCAGTGCACCTGATTTTCAAACTGTGTTAAATCTGGAGTTTATGTGTCTCAGGAGAGCTATTTTGTCTATTCCCATTTTATCCATAGTGCTGCAAGAAATGCTCAGCATAAAAGTTAAGATGAACGTGTACTTTGTGGCCATTAAAAATCCCAAAGCACTTCTGAAAATAACAAAGATCTCATATTCTTCTCAGACTCCTCTAATTTATAATGGTTACAAGCTGTCTGGGAGGAAAAAAAAAGCACCTGTGTCGTAGTGTATTACAACGTATGTAATTTGTAAATATGCAATTGCTTTTAGTAAAGATCTTGGTACAAGAAATTATAAGACTTCCTAAAAATCACTTTTATGTGTGTCCACATAGCATGAATGTTATAGACAGAGCTCTCTAAATAACAGGAAAGTGTAAATGGATGGCAAGACTGAGTTATCTGCAATAATTTACTCACTACTAGAATAGTGAGCTCTACATAATAGTGTGTGTGAAGTTCAAGATCTTTGCACTGACACCTCTGAAGTTGTCAGATGTCCTTAGAGATGGTCTTCTGGCATAAAGCACAAATTTTTGCCCCTGATCTGTACCCCAGCTATGACTCCAGTTACAATGAGTTTCAAATTCCATGCTACAACACTGCCCTTCAGATCTTCTCTACTTGACTCCAGCGTTTTGCCTTATGAACCACAAGAACCATTCAAAACAGGAAAGCTGTGGGGACTGTGCATTTTCCTGTCCAAGTCCAGAGCCATGAAACTGTGATATTAAAGACTGAAAAAATCGTGTGTACTAGTCACGGGTCAAACCCGCCCTCAGTTTCTTGGGGACAAGACTGTATTCCCTGCGTGTGCTTCCAAAGAAAAAGCCTTATTTATTTTCTGAACTAGTTCACAGTGGTCCAGAAGCTTTTATGGATAGGTTCTGTTTTCCCAGTGTAATACTTTGTCATGTAAAGATCAAGAAAATACAAATAGTAGGTTCCTTCCCGAATCCTTAAACACTTTATCTTAATGTACAACACAAACAAGATGAAGTTAAGTATTTAACAGGAAAATGCTTGAACTACAATCTCATAATTCTTCTGATTTTTTTTGTGCGTACACTTTTTGAATTTGCTTTTTCTTCAAAAAGAAAAATCCCATTCTGTGATATCAAAATGTATCTTATAGTTACATACATACATAGAAAACTGGGACATCCAGTTTCAGCACCTCAAGCCTCCTCATTTAATAACAGATTAAGTGACAGCTATTTCTCTGTGTATAGTATCATGCTGGAGGGGAACAAGATGCTTTGTCAGTTGGTTTTGCACAGATAAAAGATGGTGGGACTCAGGAATTTTGATTCCATTCTAGCTGTTCTGGTGAGTTTTGCACAATTCTTGGTCTGTGACCTCCTTTCTGTTTCTGTCGCAATTTTAGCTCTACTCCATCTCTTGCCTGTTATTGAAGTCTCAGTCCCTTCACACACTTTTAAGACCTCTGTTCCAAGTTCTAATTTATCCAGGCTAACCAGTTCAAACCCCTGCACCAGTATCGCTCAGTTCCTGCTGCAGATCACTTTCTGTCTTTTTCAGTCCTTCCGCTAGCCCAGTTTTTTCTTACACCTCCTATGCTCTGACAGTCTCATACCAGTCTCCTATTTCACAATCCATCTTCCTTTCTCCCACAGCTGGTTTCTGCCTTTTTCCTCCTGAAGCCCATCCCATTATCTTCATTGGCATCCTGCTCTACTGCCTTACTTTCTTCTGATGATAACAGATGCCTTTTTCGATCTCAGTGGCCTGATGTATTTTTTTCTCTTTGTTCCAGTTACTTTGATCTTCTTTCTAGAATATAGAAACGGGGTTACTATCCCGGCATTTTTTCTGAATCCCAAGGGGTGTATTTGGCCAACACATCTGCTATTTCCC